TACTTTTGTAATGGGAACTAATATTTCAAGACTAAAAAGAAAAAATTGTGTAATGAATTACAAAGAAGGGGGCTTTAAGATGATTAGTGTAAGAGAGTTCATTATGTTCTTAAAACTAGTTTGGATGAAAAAATTATTACTGCGGGACAATGGGTTAGACTCCTTTTTAGATATTGACATCAAAAAAAATGTATGTTGTGGGCAAGAGTATGTTGTCAAAAAAATCAATAATTTAAAAAATAATTTTTGGAAGGACGTGTTACATGCATGGCTAAGCTTTTGTGACAAATCATTACAAAATGATACACTGACTTCTTTGGAACCATTATTCCATAATAAAAAATTAATCATTAATAAAAAGCCATTCTTCTATAAAAAATGGTTCTCTTGTAACATTTTATGTATAAATGACATACTCAATGAAGATGGGACATTTATGAGTTTGAATGATCTACATATGAAATATGGGATAAAAACACATTTTCTTGAATATAGTGGCATTAAGGCATCTATATTAGAATGGCTAAGAAAGATAAACAGAGATCAAAATAACTTATCAAAGATAGCTTACCAATATATATCACAGATAATGTTTATTCGCTCCTGAATGCAAAGAAATCACATGATTTATATGAAATACTTATTCGACAAAAAATTGAACCATTGGGAAAAATCTCTTGGAATAGAATATTTGATTTGAGCAATGATGAATGGGAGATAATCTATTTACTTCCATTCAAAAGTACAAAAAACACCAAACTTCAGTGGTTCCAATTTAGAATAAACCATAAAATACTAGCGACAAATTCCTTCCTACACAAAATTAATAAAACTGATGATAAAAAATGTACCTTCTGTAAAAAGGAAACTGAAACCATAGAACATTTGTTGTGGGAATGTGAACATGTTCAGTCTCTTTTAGAGAATTTTGCAAACTACTGTTTCAATAAAATCCACACCTCTATAACCTTTTCAAAAAACAGAAACATCTCCTTAGGTGGTTTGATATCCTCTATTAAGACAATGTATGATTTACAAAAATATATATCTTATAAAAATAATGAAAAAGAATCTTTTGATGAAAGCTGGAGACCATTAACTGATTTATTTTCTTAATCATCTCTCTCTCTCTCTCTCTCTGTCTCTCTCTCTCTCTTTTTTTCTCTCTCTCTCTCTCTCTCTCTCTCTCTCTCTCTCTCTCTCTCTCTCTCTCTCTCTCTCTCTCTCTCTCTCTCTCTCTCTCTCTCTCTCTCTCTCTCTCTCTCTATCTCTCAATGTTTGTCTTTTTGTAAAAAATGTTTTCAAAAATACAATAAATTATAAAAAAAAATAAAAAGTGCCAGAAAAAGTTCAATAATGTACATTTTCTCGATTATTCCAGGAGTCTATTTTTAGACCATTGTTCCTTTAAAAAGAAACAAGAGTTCATCCTCAATATTGTAGCAATTATTGTACAAACAAGTGTTCATTCCGTTGGCATATTGTATAAAGAATTATATTTATAAACACATTTTGTACGAAGATTCAAATTAGAATAAAACTGCAACTTTCCCTGATATTAAGAGTACTTTATATCTATATTACGCCACGTGATACTAAAAATAGAAATGGGAAACCCCGTCAACCATTGTCCCTACCTGCTAAATGTTGTCATTAACATCTAAAATTTTACAATATACGTCCTAAGTAATCAGCAATGACATCTATAAAGTGCTTAGAAAGGTGCAGTGATCTACATTTTCTCCATTATTCGAATAATCTATTTTTAGACCATTGTTGGTATGAAATGAAACAAGAGTTCATCCTCAATATTGTGGAAATTATTGTACAAACACATGTACATTCTGAAAACATATTGTAGGACTTTTTATATGAAGCTTACAATTAGAACAAAAATGCCATTCATCCTAATATTCAGAGAGATGTCTATATTTAGCCACCTGATACTAAAAATAGAAAAAGGGGAATTCCCCTCAACAATTAGCCAAACCAGCTAGAGGTATCCAGATCTTGTCATTAGCATCTAAAATTTTACAAAATATTTCCTAATCATGCAGCAACTATATCTTTAAGTGCCTAAAAGGGTGCAATAAGCTACATTTTCTCAAATTATTCGAGTAATCTATTTTTAGACCGTTGTTGCCATAAAATGAAAGAAGAGTCGATCCTCAATATTGTAGCAATTTTTGTGCAAACACAAGTACATTCTGAAAGCGTATTGTCAAAAGCTTTATATTTGTTAGGACTTTTTATTTGAAGCTTCCAATTAGAACAAAAATGTCATTTTTCCTAATATTCAGAGACATCTCTATATTTAGTCACCTGATACTAAAAATAGAAATGGGAATTCCCCTAATCAATTATCCATACCTCTAGTGGTATCCAGATCCTGTCATTTACATCTAAAATTTTTCAAAATATTTCCTAATAATGCAGCAACTATATCTATAAATTGCCTGAAAAGGTGCAATAATCTACATTTTATTAATTATTTGAGTAATCTATTTTTAGATTATTGTTGCCATTAAATGAAACAAGAGTCCATCCTCAATATTGAAACATTTTTTGGACAAACACGTGTACATTCTGAAAGCATATTGTCGAAAGCTTTGTATGTGTTAGGACTTTTTATACGAAGCTTCCAATTAGAACAAAAATGCCATTTTTCCTAATATTCAGAGACATCTTTATATATAGCCACCTGTTACCAAAAATAGAAATGGGAATTCCCCTCAACCGTTGTCCATACCAGCTAGTGGTGTCCAGCTCTTTTCATTAGAATCTCAATTTTTACAACATACGTTCTAATTATGCAGTAATGACAATTAAAACTTTACCAAAATTTGATTTTTCACATTTTTCTAAAATATATCTATTTATAGATACATGTGACTAAAAAAGGGAGCAAAAGCCCACTTATGTTTTTTCATGAAATGACACTACTTATTCCCAAATATGATAAACCATGTAAGATTTGGGAAATTTCCGCGGACAATTTTTCTTATTTAGCCTCAAAGATCTCAAAAAATTCCAATTTCCCCATTTTTCAAATATTTAGAAACCATGTCAGTTTGCATGACCTTTTCTTACAGGAAGAATATTTCTCGAAAAAACGAATATATGCTCTGTGTACCTTAAAAGGTCATGTTATCATATGATCTAATGATTTTTGTTAGAGTGTATTAGATACCAATAAATATTCATTTACATTTCCTCAATTTTCATGTTTTCATTAAGTCCAAAATGGGCCAAAAATGGCAGAATTCAATGGATCCGTCTCCATGGCAACCAAGTGCACGCGTGGAACTTCCGACACCATATTTACTAGTTTTGTACCAAGACACACCTATGGTAAAAATTTCATCAAAATCCGAGACATGTCGTTTCCAAGCCCTATAGTAAATTCGTTGGTGCTTACAGAGAATGCGTGTTAATTACTACTATATTCCAACAAACATGGGTAAAAAGTTTAATATTCTACCGTTAATGTGAAATATATTATCCAAATTTTCAGCAGTCATATGAATGACCTATACATTTCTAAGGCAATTCACAATATTTATATGTAGTTATACAAATAAGTACAAAGAATATATAAGATAAAAAAAAATATATCAAAATTTAAGCTTTTAAGAGTATTGATGACTTTATGTGATAATCTAACTAAGGACAAAAAATTTCATAGTCTGTATTCTTAATCCCTTGACATCCTTGTAATATAATAGGGAACTTTGTGCAAAGTCACCGTAAAGTGCTTCCACCAAAATAATAATTAATATACTTTAAGGCCGTGTAGTGCATGATATTCAATAACTTGTTAACAACAACTTATATATACACTAGATTTGCACTTTCAATATGGACATAAAACTGCATAAAATTCTCAATCTACCTGCATAACGGAATTAATCTGTCCAAACCTATTTTGTGCGCATAAGTAGCGCAGCACTGTTAAGGCTTACTGATAGAATTCAACGGGAAAAAAGTGCAAAAACGGGATTTTTCAAAAACAGAATTTATTTTTATTTTACCATAAGGTTTAATTATCACTTTCTTTTTTCGATGATCGTTATCATCATAGTCTTTTTTAAATACTATATAAATCTACATATATCATACCAATTAATTGGCCATTCATTGTTATAACTATTTTTGACTAGGAATAAAAATAGAAAGATCAAACATTAGATGTTTACCTCTCTGGACACTTGCTTCCGCATTTTGTAATTCTAGAGACCCGCTTTGTATATATGCCCCTATCCAATTCGTATTTAGGGGATAAATGATGCGGTGTTTCTTCACATTTTTTTCATTTTTGTGCTGTTAGGTTGAAGGCACATATAACAGTGTGATTTATAGAATACAATGTCAGGAATACAAAGAAATGGCTGGGGGAGACACGAAGTCTTTTGTCAACGCGATTAAGCTACAGTTTGAAAGCAGTTGTGCTGTAGTTACTATTGTCATTCTGTTTATAGTTTCCGAGGAGTTCTAGGAAGTAAAGTGAACCTTTTGAACACATCAAGTTCACTCTATTTTTTATTCTTAAATAATCTATAATAATGTAACATTATACATCAAGTATAAGAACTATAGTGAACGAATGGAGAAAACATTGCATAATCATAAGTACTTTTCTACTCTCAAATTAGGTGACATAGTCGTTAATGCGGAATTTCGATTATAAAGTCCTTTTTCTTAGTAGAGTTTTAAATCGATAATGCTTATCATGACCTGACAGTAAGGTGAGAGTTCAATAACACGGACAACGTATATTGTATGCTTTCTATTATCTTAAGGAACCATAATTAATTGGTGAATTTAGTATGTTTTCCTTTGACTTTTTCATATGTTTAGTGTCAGTAGCCTGTATCAATGCACAGGACGGTCAAACGGTTTCTCATTCATTTTTGCTTAGCAAATTGAATATTTTAGAGCAAAGACAGGAATCTATCTAATAAACATTGATCATTGAAAATAATAAGTTGAGAAATGTCGGAATGCCAGAAACTGAAAGATATACTGATTCCAAGAAGTGTAATGAGGATAGAGGATTAAATGCTACTTTTGGACGCAGAACTACCACTGAAAAAGAATACACTGCAATATTTGGTATAATGCATTGAATTCGACATTGAAATCAGAGATATCTCCTGAAAACTCCAGTCCAGGAAACTGTTGCCCAAAATCCCTCTCGAATTCTAAGTACGGTAAATCTAAATCCGTCACAGATACATGTATGCTTCTAAAAAAAAGGCCTAATAACAATGTATTAACTAACTGAAAAATATTTCAATTTCTGATAGAAGCAACCATTTCTATTTTCTTTTTATGTAAACATTTATCTATACAGATGGAGTTGCATTCAACGCTTACATGTCGCATGATAAAGGCCGTCTAGGGCGCACCAGATCTAGACAATCATTTTTAACCACGTGGTTACAAACATCGGCGAAAACTATAATCGCCACACGGGGATATTCTCTTGCCCAGTAAATGGCGTATACACATTTTCATGGACTTTATACTACATTTCTGATGGATATCTATATTCAAAAATTGTAGTTAACTCAAATGCCGTTGGAGCTTTGTTTTGTGATGGTGAAGCACTGAGTCTCAAACACACAGCGGGTGTCGTCGTTGTGGAGATCAACCTAGGAGATGTCGTGTACATCCGCACACACCCACAAGACCCTGTTGGAGGAGCTATTCCTAGTGGTACCACTTACCCATCCTCATTCAAGGGATGGAAACCTTATTAGCCATTTTTCTTTAAGAAAGTCTCCAACTTTCCTTGGTCGGAATGAATTCGCTTACACACACCAACTACACAAAATAATTCCCTCACTAAAACTTTTGCCACAGTCTGTGCCTTTTGATCCCTTGTTCGAATTGCGGTGGTCCATTTACTGAATACATCCACAGGTAGAACGATTTGATTCAGGTCACCCAGTTTCGGATCACTAATACGTGTATGAATGACATCACAAATTTTCAAGTTTTTGAATAGGCGTAAAAGAATCTGAACTTTCTTATTTTGTTTGGTTTTTTGGGCAGTGTTTGACACAAGGAATTCTCTGCACTTTCCACTCACAGAATCTTTAAATTGTATATCCTAAAGATTATCACTTGTATAACTAGGAAATGTATCCAAATATGAAACATCCATTGACTCCGTATATATCACAGACAATTGAGCGGCTTTAATACCTGTTGGAATGCTGATTCCATCAATCGCTGATTCAAAATTTCACTGTCCGATTAAAGTAGTGATAAAACATCAGCGTTGGTGTTTTGTTTACCGGGACGGTATTTGATTTCAAAGTCTGCTCACTGTGACGCCCATTTTGTTAATATGCTCCGAGTTTTGCCTATTGCTGTCTGTGAACACGACCAATTTATTTCCAAGTAGGTAGTCTCGAAATTTTCGGTCACGCTCCTGTGAGTGCCAGAAGTTCTAGTTTCAGAATGCTCATAGTCTGTGATGATTTTTCGTTTAGTCTAAGAGAACGGCTAGCACAGTGCGTCCATTTTGTTTCTGAGATAATACAGCTCCCAGTCCGTATTCACTGGCGTCAGTTTCCAAAATGAATGGGGATGAAAAGTCTGCATATCCTAGTAACGGAGCTGATGCCAACAAAATAGTTTAATCTATCAAACGAGTCTTGACATTCCTTTTACCATTTGTCACCGAAAGTTGTCTTAGGATGTTTAGCGTTCTTCTTGGCAATTTCTAGAAGGGGCTCTGCAATCTGCGAAAAGTGTTTCATAAATCAGCGGTAATGTCCCGCAAATCCCAGAAATGATTGAACTTCCTTAACATTTTGTGGAACATTCCAGTCCACAATGCACTTACTTTTATCCCCATCTGTGCTAATTCAATTTTTACTGACCACATGGCCTAGATATTTCACAGAAGGCTTGAATAATTGACACTTTTTCATTTTCAACTTAAGTCCATGCTGACGTAAAATGGAAAACACCTTGAAAAGTTGCTGAATATTTTCACGCAATGACTTTGAAAAAAAAACGATGAAATACGAGGAGAATTCTACAAACTTCTTCACGAAAACAGTGTTGCATCAGGCTTTAAATTGTTGCAGGTGCGTTTGTAAGACCAATTGACATGCTCAAAAATTCATACAGTCCAAAAGGAGTAGAAAAGGCTGTTTTCTGTATGTCCTCTTCTGCAATTTCAAGTTGATTGTAACCGGAAGTAAGACTAGTGTTGAAAATGTTGAAGATCCAAATAAAGTATCGAATTTTTCTTTCACTCTTGGTAGGGGAAACTTGTCTTTGATTGTTTTCTCGTTCAGTCTGCTGTAATCTACGTATAGTCGTAAAGAGTTGTCTTTCTTCCGCACAAGAACGATTGAAGAACTGAAAGGGCTTGTACTTTCACGAAGTACACCATTATCCAAAAGCTTTCGGATATGTTGTTTTATCTCCTCATATTGGGATGGAGGGATGCAACGATACTGCTGCGAAACTGGTTTATTATCTGTAAGATGAATACGATGCTGCACTGTACTGGTACATCCAATATCATCGTCATCTTTAGAAAATACGTCACTATATTTCCAGAAAAGCGAGCTGGTCAGTTCTTTTTCTTCATCACTACAGTCAAGCTGATAAATGTCTTCAGGTAACTGAAATTTTTTCATCAGGGCACAGATCCTTTTCAGATTGATGCTTCTGAACTATAGTAGTAAATTTAGTTTACCACATTAACAACTCCAAGAATTACAAGAATTAACCTTTTGCTCTACAAATACTTAAAAGGACTTTTCAATTTTTTTACACTGATATAAATAACCTTTGTTAATTGGAGGCAAATTTGGAGGTCTTGTGCTTTCCTCGGTGTCCTGTCAGTGTTTGTGAATCATGGATGACAACATATTTAATATTCATATTAGGTTTTTTCTACAGTCATGTTAAGGAACAAAGATAATATTCTGTCCTTAATTTCTAATTACAAAAAAAAAAAAAAAAAAAGAAATAGTAATTTGATTTCAAAGTCATTTTGATATAACAGTCTTATTCGCTATTCCTTATCAAGACGTGACTCTCGGGCCATAGTTCAATTACATGGACCACTTATATTATCTACAACTTATGTTAAAGTGAAACACTCTTCCTCATAATTCAGTATGATTTTCTTTGCAGTTGTCCTGTTGTCCGTGTCCTCGGTCGCCAGTTTCAATACGTGGGACGGTCAAACTGTTTCTCTCTCTGATTTACTAAGAAGATTGAATGATTTTGAGCAGAGACTGCAAGTACAAGAACGAATTAACGGAGAACAAGAGGAAATCATTAAACATTTGATTCATGAGAATAAAATGCTTAAAAATTTAGGAATGCCAGAGACAGACATTTCTCTTGATACCAACAAGCAAAATGCGAGTGAAGGATTTAACAATTCCTTTGGAAACAGAAATTCGACAGGAAACAAAACCACTGCAATGCCTGTATCGAATTCAAAGTTGAAATCAAAGATATATGATAGAAGTTTTATACCTGAAATGTGTTGCCAAAAATCCTTGTTGCACTTCAGGAACGACAAACTTAAAAGAAGATCCGTAACAGGTACTTTTCTTTATATTGATAATGTATCGAAATTTTTTCAGTCAAAAAGAGACAAGAAAGACACTCAACCCCCCCCCCCCCCCACCAAAAAAAAGGGTTATTGATAACAAAAAAATTCATCATTTAATATGCTAATGATTACTGCATATTACATATACTTGTAGGTGGTGTTGCATTTTACTCTTATTTGACACATCATGAGAGTAATCCAGGTCATCACCAAACAATCGTATTTGACAGCGTCATTACAAACGTCGGTGGAAACTACAATCGTCACACGGGAACCTTCTTCTGTCCAGCAAATGGAGTGTACACATTTTCATGGACTTTGTATTGCTCTGCTGGTGGACATATTTATTCAGAAATTGTTGTTAACTCGAATGCTGTTGGAGCTATGCGATGTAGTGGCGAGGGAGCAAATACTTATAGACACACAACCAGTGTTGTCGTTGTAGAGATCAATCAAGGGGATGCAGTGTACATCCGCACACACCCTACCAGCAGTTTATCCGGCTATCTGCCTAGTGGTTCTACCTACCGATCATCATTCAGCGGATGGAAACTTTTTTAACAAAATGAGAAAAAAATCTCAAAGTAATTTGACGTGCAATAAAAAGAAATTGTGTCCCTTTCTTTGGGTATGTCGTAGATTAACGTCCTTCTAGAACCTATACAGTTAATATGTTATCTTTTAAGGTTAGTCAGTCTGGAGAAATGCATTGTGCATGTTGTATCCTGTGAAAAACTCCTGATGTAAAATATCGATGATTTCCAATAATCCTTTAATTTGATACAATCAATCTCAAAATACCTAAAACTATGGTAATAAAAACTTTCTGTCACCGTGGAGAACTTAATGGGAGTTATACAAAGGAAATCCTCTCTTTTTTCCGTCAGTGCTATAGCACCTTGCCTAATCATGACAAAAATGACACTTGATTGCTGACAATTGTTTGAGTAGCATAGTATTAGTGTAACTATGAAATAATCACTCATTTTCGTAACCACAGATATGCATTGCTTCTGAACATTTTCCAACCATGAAATCAAATCCCGCCAAACCCATTTTCTTTCATCAGACCTCAAAAATTTGACACCACGCAAATATGTTTTATAGAAAGTACATGTAGCTTTATCAGTATATGTTCATATAACCTACTTCCACATGCTTTGCAAATTAAAGTAAAGGGCCTTCATTCTCAATGGCTTTCAATATCAATTTTGACCTGATTTTCTGTCATTATCGATGATTTTTTCAGAATAAAAGATTTAGATTCAAATTTCAAACTTCTTCGCACGCCTATGAAAAAGAAATAAAATTTTATTGTGACCTTCTACTCCTCACCTGGGAAAGTTTTTGGCCTAGGATTTCCTGTAAAGAAAATGCAACGTCTTCCTTACAGTACATCGTCTAATACAAGGATATGGAGATTACGAACAGTATTCAATCTCAAAGTCCATAAAACAATACAAAATTAGAGCAGAGCAAACACGGACCCCCGAAACATCAGAGGTGGGATCGGGTGCCATGGAGGAGTGAGCATTCCCTGCCGACCGGGCACACCCGCTGTGTGCTCTTTGTCATGATAAAAAAACGGTAAAAATCCGTGGTCAATTCAGAGTATAAATAATTGACTAACAATTGGTATGAAAAACGTCAGTCAGCATTTGACTCAATGATAAACTTTATTTGCTGACAAGGTCATCGATCGACCATAGAACTTACGAAATGATGACTTTAAACGAGACTGCTGATATTCTTGTTTACTCAACTTGCTTGTCAATAATTTACCTCGTTTTAGAAATTGTTCATAGTAGAGCATGCTTTTGCGTATCGAATCAACTGAGATATATATACTCCGTATGCCGGTGATGAAGGTATATTGCCGCATAGGTAACGTAAGTTGACGATAGAAAAGTTAAAGTCATCACGTTTATCATATAGCTTGGTTGTTAGATTACCATTAGTGTCTTTTTCAAGTAAAATATCGAAGTATGAAACAGAACTGTTATTCATTTAAATATGCTCATCATCTTCCTGATACACGTTTTGGTTCTTTTCAGGCGAAAGGATATATGATGCCTCTCAGGCCTTATGTTCGAAATATAGAATATCTTTTACTATTCAAATAACACATTGTTCGATTATTATGTCATTTCCAAGTACAGTATAATACTTTTACATGAATATGTGGTATACGGTAATTGATTGAGTTATGCTTATCGTGTTCCGATGTTCTATTCGTCGTGTTCCTGATCGTAAAGTGACTACAAGGCAAAAGGGCAGAACAAAAAAAAATTTTAATATGCCGTCTATGAATATTATGTAGACTCAGACCCTAAGTTAAAGGAACATTTTTCTCTATTTGTCATTGTTATCAAGGGTGAGTGGTAGTAATAAGTCCGAAACAACGACATAAAATGACCCCCTTAGAATTTTGACCACATAGAAAATGACCCAGGTTAATTTATACGACAAGTAGGGGCATTTTTCGACCGTAGAAAACACTGAAAGATCTCTAATTCTTCAAAACTACACACATTGAAAAATTAACAAAATAGAAATTTGACCCTTTTGGATTTTTTATACATGTAAATGCGTCTCCTTATATTTTTAATACTTTCAAATGTAAAGAGGGTGAATAAACATTACTTCTTTATCATTGCATATCTTAACGCTAGCATCATAATCAAAGTGTCCCCCAAAACGGAAAATAGTCAAATCTGGATGAATATCTTAATTTATCAAATATTTATTTATCCAAATATTTATATATTTATCCAAATATTTATATATTCATTAAAAGATCCTTATTAAACACTTTCAACCCACACCTGACAAACGGTCGGTTTTTCAAATATACACGAACTCTCTTTTGATACAGAGTTGACCATGAAAATAATATAAAAGGCAGATCAGCAATAATATTGTTGTTTAAGGATCCTATAATAAAAAAAGTTTACCCCGATTCATTAGAATCTGGAATTCGAAGGTTCCAACCACAGCCAATACTGTCCAACAATATCCCCCAATAAAATGACTGCTACATGACTTGGTATCATTTTTTATTAGTTCATTGCCACAAAATTAAATTTCTCGTGACAGATAAAAAAAAAATGTCAACAAATATAAAAATTCGTGGACATGAAATGATATTTCATAAGGCAAAAAACTCTGCTCCTTCAGAAATACCATTTCAAAAGTTTCCAGAAGGAGCCCATCGGCTCTTCAATAAATATAACCTATTTTTAAATAGTACATTGACTTACATATATTATACCAATCATTTAGCTATTCTTATTAAATTCTAAGTTACATGTAAACTAGGATTTTCCCTCTGTTTTATCTGGTCAATGCCCACGGTTTGAAAGACAGGTCAAACAGGAGTTGTTTACACTTCCTTCCATATTTGGTGATTCTAGAGATCCACCAAAGTATATATGCCCTAATCCAATTAGTATTTTTGGAAGATCGGTCATTCTTTTCTATTTTTCTTGCTGTACGGAAAGGAGAAAGGCAAATATTACAGTTAATTTAAAAGTCTATCATAGAGAACACTCACATGTATTCAGAGAAAGGGTTGGGGAGATTCAAAGTCTTTTGTCATTGCTTTATGGGCTACTGTTGGATTTTTTTCAGAAACAGTTAACTCTAATGCCATTGGACAAATGTATTGAAGTAGCGATGAAGCGACTAAATATAGATATAAGGCAGGTGTACGACAGTTGTCATCGTTGTTGAGATCAATCAGGGAGATACAATATACATCCGAACACATCCTGATTTCAGTATTTCCGGACTCATAATAAATCTTCCTATCAAGTATCAAACCCTACTCAGCGGATGGAAACTTTTTTTTACAAAATGAGAAAAGTCTTCAATGTATCCTAATAACATAAAAAGCACAGATTCAAATTTTTGATACAATTCTAAAATTTTTGAAATGTTACAATTTTTTATTTTAATCATAAATTCTAATAAAAATGCTAAAATCTAATACATAAAACCATTTTGGAAGCTAATGAATTTTTATTTATTTTTTATTTATATAGGATTAACAAATAAATTTTTTCATGTTTAAAAATGATTTTTAGATTTTTTTTCATTTTATGAAACCCATTAAAAACTCTTGAATCTCAAACATTTCTAACATTGATATTTGACAATATATTATACTATGAAATATGTGGAGATAACGAAAAGTATTCAAGCTCAAATGTCCATAAAACTTACAAAGTTTAAGGAAGGTAGGATACAAAATATCTGAGGCAAAAAGGGTCGTCAAAGATCTCAGTTCAGTTAATTTATGAAATGGTTTGGCATTTCATGACAAAGGTTTTAGCATTTTAAGAAAAATTGCTATCACGATTTTAATGCAATTTTTCTGATATTTCTTGTAATTTTTTTTAAATACTAATGAAAAATATTCCGAAAGCAGGTATTATGAAGTTTCTGAAAATGACTATTCGTTCCATTGCCATGGACACTAAATATGCTCAAATCACTTCGAAATCTCAAATAAATCCACAATTAGTTTTATTTTTTTTGGGGGGGGGGGTGTTGAAACATACCAGCATATTGAATACCTGAAATGTGTTAATTTTATTCTTAACTGCATAATTATTTTGTAACTTAAGTGATTACACCACGGATTTTATTTGCAATAGAATAACTGAAATAATACATGTTGTTTTACTCAAAATTCTTTTTAAAAAAAACTGATTAAACAAATGAGAAAAAAATTACAAAATCATATATATATAGACCTCGTATGCAGTTGATGAAGGTAAATTGCTGCATAAGTAAGGAAATTTGACGATAGAAAAGTTAAAGTCATCACATTTATCATATAGCTTGGTTGTTAGATTACAATTAAAGTCGTTTTCAAGTAAAATATCCAAGTTTGAAAGAGATGTGTTATCTTTTATCGTTCATATCTTTTATATTTTATTGTAAAATTTAGGCCTTTATTCTAAATACTTTTTTTTAAATAGTAGACGAAAAATGCACACAAAGAAATAATTTTCTTCATGGATTTTATTCTGAATGATATACAGACAATATTACAAATATAACTAGAATATTATGTAATTTCTAATCAAATGGTTTGAAACTCAGATATCCATCAAATTTCAATCATCCCCATTCACTCACTCAAAAATGTTTTTCAAAATCATGACATTATGAGTACTTAAAGTGACAAACAATGTCATTATACCATTAGAAAAGATACGTGAACATACATTTTTTTTAAATGCATTAGAAGAGTTAACCTTCTGCTTAACAATTACTAAAAAGAACTTTTCTTTTCTTACACTGATATAAATAATCTTTTTTTAAATATGGAGAAAATTTGGACGTCTTGTGATTTCCTCGGTGCCCTATCAGTCATTGAGAATCATTGATGACAACAGTGTTTATATCTATCAGCATTTTTCAGTCATGTTTAGAGACAATGATAATGTTCTTCTGTTTCAAATCTCATATAACAAAACAGAGATGATAGGATGATTTCGAAGTCATTTTAGAGTATTACTCGTTATTCCTTATCAAGACGTGACTGTAAGGTGATAGTTCAATAGCAATGAATACATATATAATCTGCTACTTATGTTAAAGTGTAACACTCTAACTGTTCATTCAGTATGATGTTCTTTGCAGTTTTCCTGTTGTCAGTGTCTTTTGCCGCCGGTTTCAATACGTGGGACAGTCAAACCTTTTCTGTCTCTGATTTACTTAGAAGATTGAATGATTTAGAGCAAAGACTTCAAGTGCAAGAACGAATAAACCGAGATCAGGAGACGACCATAAAACAGTTGATCATTGCAAATAAGAACTTTAAAAAATACGGAATGCCAGAGATCGAACAAGCTGTTGATTTTAAGATACAAAATGATAATAGAAGACTTAACAAAAGTGACGCTGGGAAAAATTCCATTTCAGCAAATAAGATGCCTTTGTCGATTCCAAATCTAAAATCAAGGATATCTGATGAAAACCTTAGACCTGAAAATTGTTGCCAAAAATTCTTGTTGAATTTCAGGAACGAAAAACCTTCAAGGAGATCCGTGACAGGTATTATTCAAGATACTGATAATAAATTAAATAATTATTATTAACACAGAGTCTGACATTTCTGTTTCATACTTGGGTATTTTACTTGAAAAAGACATAAATGGTAATCTAACAACCACGCTCTATGACAAACGGGATGACTTTAACTTTTCTATCGTCAATTTTACTTACTTATGCAGTAATATACCTTCATCACCTGCATACGGAGTCCATATATCTCAGTTGATTCGATACACAAGAGCATGCTCTACGTATGAACAATTTCTAAAACGATATATGTTATTCACAAGCAAGTTGATGAAACAAAGGCTTATACATGTATGTCTCAGTTTATTCGAAACGCAGGAGCATATTCAACGTATGAACAATTTCTAAAACGTGGTAAACTACTGACAAACAAAGTGATAAAACAATCAGCAGTCTCGTTTAAAGTCAGTCGTCATTTTGTAATTTCAATGTTTAATACAATGAACTTGTCAGCAGATTTTTTCCGTTTTTTCCTGATCATGATAAGTAGCACACGGCCGATGTGACCTGTCGGCAGGAGATGCCCAATCCCCCATGGCACCTGATCCCACCTCTGATGTTTTGGAAACCCGTGTTTGCTATTCTCCTTTTTTGTATTGTTTAATAGACTTTTGATCTTAGATACCGTTAGTTATCTCAATATGTTGCATTTCAGGCACATAAGTAAACAAAATTGCGAGCATTTCAATCAAAAACATTTTTATATTATTACATGTATTGATTTTTTTGCTAATGCTTCTGATATATCCAAACAGATGGTGTTGCTTTTTACTCTTATTTGTCACATGATGAAGACAGTCTAGGGCATCACCAAACAATCATATTTGACAACGTTATTACAAACCTTGGTGGAAACTACAATCATCACACGGGAATATTCACTTGCCCATTGGATGGAGTGTATACATTTTCGTGGACTTTATTTTGTTCTTTTAATGGATATTTTGTTTCCGAAATTGTTGTTAATTCTAATGCCGTCGGAGCTGTGTATTGTAATGCCCAGGGAGCGACAAATTTAAGACACACAACCGGCGTCGTCGTTGTTGAGATCAATCAAGGGGATGCTGTTTACATCCGCACGCATTCTACCCACAGTATTTCCGGAATACTTTTTAGTTCTCCTTACGACCGATCCTCATTTAGCGGATGGAAACTTTTCTAAATAAAAGAGTGGAGTCTTTGTTGTACTTACATGTATTTTATATCAATAAACAAACAACTCCTTCAATTCTATCTTAACAAAATCGTCTTACTAATAAATACTGTACATGTCTTGAAGTTCGAGTGTCAAATAGTTCACGATTTGCTATATTTGAACATTTAACGATTGTTTGATTTTTACGGACACCAACCGTCTGGAAAAAAAATTCAATTGTATTTATATTTGAAGTAAAAGAAGGTTAAAGTTAATAACGTTTTGTAAAAAATGCAACCAGTATCGTAACCCGCCACTGACATGACCTATTGTTGTCTTGTGTATTTCACAGAGTCAATATTTTATTAAAGCAAGAAGACACTGTATATTTAAGCTTTTATATGAATGAATGCCTGTCGGAAATATTCATGATGGGTTAATGTTCGCAAAAATTTATTCCATCATATCAAAATTAAAACCACGGATCTGTTTACCACTTCTACTTGTTTGGGATAGAATGCACTTTACCGGTACGGCCGCCATTTTGATTCTAGATCCACGCGTGAGGTGGCGCGGCGTAAAAACTTAGCAACGTATCAACTATGATGGGCGACGCCATTTTGTTTTTCTAGGAAGCGAGCGGAAGATAAACGGCGGGGGTTTGGGGGCGGCAGCCCCCGATATATGCTACATTATGTGATTAAACTTACCCTTAGTCTTCAAATAAGTCTGCACTGGCATTCAGATGGTCTACGTTGTCATTGGGAGTCAAAGTGGCCAATGGTTGTCTTTTTTTTGCAGGTGTAAATACGTTTAATGAGGGAAAGAAAGGCGATAAATTTGTCGTCTACGTCTTTCAGATACTTCTTTCTTATGCAATACTCAATTAGATAACTGTCGTAGTGCTGTTTCTGTGTTCCAGTTTTGGGTAGAGACTTCTTTACTGCGTTCCAAGTAGATTCAATAAGATTTGTGCAGGCTCCAGTTTCCTTATTCTTAAACTCGATCGAATGATTGACAGTTAGATGACCATATCCCTACGACTTCAAACTAGAATAAGCCTTCCAACAGTCTGATAAAATAATGGTCCCAGGTTCTACAAATTTCTTAATAATAGGAATCAGGGTGTTTGCGCTCCTGTCCTCCACTACCTCAAAGAAACACTTCTTTGACTCTCTTTCAAACCCACCAAAAACCCAAACACCGTCAACTCTCTTACCGCGATGGTACTTTCTCTTGCCAAACTTACTCTCATCGATCTCCACGTGCTTTCCTGGTCCACCAATCCTCTCACTGTCCTGTTTCAAAATGCAGAGACACACCTCTCGCGCAAAATTTTTCCAATCCACAATGGTGTGATCACTTCCAATTTTAAGTTCCCGTCCAATAAAATCACCAGGTAGTTCATATACCCAATAGTAGGTTAATTTAACTGCCTGCTCTAGAAGTAAATGACTTCCGAAAAACCAAGATCCCTCTCTTACTGACGTTTTTTTGTTACACTGTCTATTACTACACCTCCAAACAATACCGTCCTTACTGTAAGATTTGTCCTCCACTAATTTAACATTTCCTTCATTGCAAGTGTTACATTTCCCACTAAAGTTTCCCAGAAGTCCAAAATTTTGCAACCAATCGATTAAAAATCTCCGTTCACGGCATATCTCATATAAATCATCGTAAACAAACGGCATAGTACTACAATCAGCTGATTCCACTGTTTACATTTAGCGCAACTGTCAAAATATGTATTACATCACTTACCTTGACCAATCATAGCACTGAAATAAGTCACGTGCTTAACAACGTCATGACTTTGGAATGTGGCCGACAAAATGAAAGCCAAAGGTTTGTTTTGAAAGTGCTTTTAGTTTTAATTAATAACTTCGTTAATTAAACGAAGTTTATTAACATGAAAAATGACGAGGAATTCAAAAAATAGGTTATTTTTGCATTTTATTGCCTTTTTAGCAAAATCGTCACGCTGACGCGTGACTCTCTTATAGAGAAGGAGCACGTGCTATTTCCATATTATTTGGACGTACCGGTAAAGTGCAGTTGTCCCCTTGTTTGTTAAGCGCCTTTTCGAGAATATTCACTCATACTGACCTTCGGTCAAAGGTCTTTAAGATCTGTGTTAAATATATAACATAATGACTGCAAAATTTGTAAATCTATGCTCTTTATTTCGAATATACGTTGTCCAAGTCACGGTAGCCTAGCCTAATATAGTTTTCGCCTTGCGATCCGGAGGCCCGGGTTGATTCTCGTTCGCGGCACGGCGTTATTTCTAAGACGTAAACAAAGGTAGTGACTGTTCCTTCGCCAAACGCTAAGCACTAGGAGTGACAGTCACTGGTCTTTCGGATATGACCTTAAAACCTAGATTCCTTTTCACGCTTGACGTTAGAAGGATAAAGAACCCTCACTGCTCAATGGCCCTGAGTGCAGAGTATAGGTCTAAATTTGAAGCCCCTCATCGGTATACGGTGACATCACTGTATGTGTGAAAAATTCTCGAATGGGATCTTAAGCAATATATATATGTGACGCGCCAAGCAAAAATCTCCCTTATATCTATTATGACGTGACGTCAAAAGACGCGTCTAAAGTCAACAAGGTGAAATCAACGTAAAAACGCCTCCTCGAGAGAATTGAGAAATTATATCCCAGCAACACAAGGAGATTATTTATATGCTAGAGGAAGATTTTTTGGAATGATTTGATGCAGTTAATTCTTTAAGAAGTTACTTTCCTTCAAGTGTCTGTGTGGTCTTTCCTTTTCACAGTTAAGTGTTTATTATTAAAGATGTCCAGTCGTGATTAAAAAATTCCAGTAATTTTTTAACCACGACTGGACATCTTTAATAATTTTTTAAAGGAAGTTTGTTTGCCCTCTCACTATTCGGGTTAAAATAATTGCGTCGGTATAGGTAGGTCGAAATGTCGAAATTTATTTTTGTCGGAGAATATTTTGGAGGTTTAAAAAGATTTTAGTCGGTTAATCTTAAAAGGTTAAACAGATAAGTTATTATAGATAGTTTTTTTTTAATTTAATATGCAGCTCTTTCATCGTTATAAATTCATAAGCAAGAAAAAGTAAAGAGGAGCATTATGCTAAGAAAAATTTTTTTTGAGATGCAGTGATAAATGACATGAATTACTTCCCTTTTATTTAAGGAATGAATTTAATAGCTACCCAATTGATATGATATAAACTGAGTTGGGGCAGTAAACAGTGCAGTTTATATTTTTTAAAAAGTGTTCCAACAAAGTTTATTCCGTATAAATTGGGTAGCTATCAATTTAATTCCTTTAAATTTAGTTTTTCTTCATTTAGTGTCTGAAAAAAGTAGATGAAAAATCACTTCAAATAGTACAATATTGAAATGTAACGTCAGGCGGATCGATATGTTTTTGATGCATGTGATTGTGACAATATGCAATAAAAAGTAATATCGTTATCCAACCAAATACCGCGTTATAACTAGAATTAAATTATTACATCTTTTCACTTCCGTAGATGATGTAAGTTAGAAAAATGCATCGCTGTTCATTGTTGTTTTCTGTGCAAGTAGCAAGAACTGTACATAATCTTTGATAGCTTGCCAAGGATATTGATAAATAAATACGTTTATTTAACAAAAATGTAATATTATCTCTTGATACAACACAGAGTATTTGATTTGGATACTTCTTCTGGAATTAGTTTTTTGCCGTTGAATCAAAATGAATCTTTTGAAGAAAGGCTTATTGAGCTTCTCAATTGATTTTGTTATTGTTAGTTGTTTAACGTTTAACACTTTCTTATGTTGTACACAAAAATGTAGAAAAAATCGGACCTCCCCCCCTTTCTCCTGTGTCACGTGTCTGATCCATCTCTTTGGTGAGTTTCGTGCAAATTTTGTCGTGAATATACGCATGCGCGGATCTAGAGGGGGGTCGTGGGGTCAGGTTAAAAAATGTATATACTAAAACAAGAAAAAAGTTACCATGGACCCCCCTTAGAAAACGGAGATCCCCCTGGTAAACGCGAATATGTGTGAAATGCGTATGAGGCAATAGAAATCAGCACAACCAACTCTCCCCCCCCCCCCCCCACACACACACACAAACAAAATAAGTTTTTGACGTTTGGGCGATTTATGGTTTTTTGGTTTTTTTTTTTTTTTTTTTTTTTTTTGCTTGTCAAGAAATTTCTGGAATTGGATTTTTTTTGACTGAGGTGGACCCCCCCCCCCTGGAAAAAAAATTCTGGATCCGCGCCTGTATGCGGATGCTCCTATATTTTGTAAGTTACAGTCCCACTTTCTAAGATATTTTATGATTGAGAATATAGCAGATTGGACATATGTTTATTGACCTTTTTCCGTCATTTTGCTGCACTGTTAAGTATTCATAATCCTTTAGCTGAGGTTGTACACACCGATGATGATACATGGGATGAAACTGGCAAACATGATACATCGCTAATTAGATCTAATACAAATTGTTACAAATTAATACAAATTGTTTGATCATTTTTCAAACATCCCAACCTATTATTTTTTTGAGCATGGTTTATCTACCCAAAAAAAAATACATTGAAAAATTTACTTTAAAGTTCTGATTTCCTGTAAACAGCATAATGTCGGCCATTTATAAAGTTGCAGAATCAATCCACCGCATGTAGTACCACAATCTCCGTGCTCATTCAACCCTCTGAACATAACACATCAATGCAGGATAAAAGTTTCAATTAAACATTGTAAAGGTTATAAATTTTCTTTGTAATGATTTTATTTTAACCTTCAATATTAAGGATTTATTTAACCTGTAATAATTATATCCCCGACAAAGATTTTACAACCTACATTTTACTATAATTAACATCTTTACCTTGGACAATAGAATAATAATCTTATTTCCTTTTGTTGAACTGCGATTAAATGAATATATGCATTTCAAATTATGGAAGTTTTATACCAATTACACGAAATTTGATACATACATGTAACAAACTAAAACAATTTCAATATTTTTTTCCTGCAAAAGTGATCGGCTTTGTTCTTGTTTAACTAGTTCAGATAATTGATTAAGCGTGGATGTCCATAGCCTAGACCCCCATCCCCTCCACCCCGTTTACGATAATGGAAGAATATTAAGAGTTTTTTACCCATTCTATTACTTTCTGTTGCGATTTGAACAGGCATACAGTGACGTAGCATCGTTTTTGTAAAGGGGGGGGGGGCAGCCAGAGAAATTTATGTTTACTTTCCTGAAAAAGAAAAAGTTGACTAACAAAAAAAGTTTCCCAAACTCGAAAATCCTATTTCGTGGGAAGGGGGGGGGGGGCACTTTTTCCAATGGTTACTTCCTTCAGTACAAATTTTTAGGTACACAATGCTAAGAAGTTCGGGGGCAATCAGCATTTCAGGGAACATTTTCAACAATAAAAGTAATGTTGGGATAAAAAGTGGGGTGAAGGCCCCCCTACCCTCCTCTTTTTGTTGCTATACGTGCCTGGCATGTTTTAACCTATACTAAAAAGCAACTAGTATTTAATATGATTAAAGTAAAACATAAAGTGTGCATGTACTTTATCAGGAATGTAAGAATAATGAAGCTAAATAAGCTTAGATTAGGCCTCATATTCTACGGGTTGTAATTTTCCAGTGTCATTACAATCAAGTGGGCCTTCTTGCGAATTAAGGACTGATTTCATTACGACACCATAAGAAGAAAAGGATCGAACTGCACTACAAAAGACAAATAATATTATTAGAAAATATCATTAAGCCATGAAGGCTTTAAAGATGAGTTCGTAATTCTGCATACATTTTCACCGCATTAAAACATTTGAAACTAAAGCATGTGAATAGTATAAACTTGTGGTAAAAGAAATGTTATGGTAACCTTTAGATAAAAAAAACCTATTGCACTGTCTCTTTAAAAACTCAGGTACATGTATTTAAAATGTAAACTATGACAATACATGTACTTTCTTTTTATCCTGTGTATTGAACAGACTTTTAATGTCCGGGGGGAGGAGGTGGTATGGGCTGTTTGGTACTTTTTTAAGATAACTACATGTACATTGATAATGTAACATATACAATTAAGTGCCCCTGCTTACCGGGGAATTGGGTTTGAACCCAAGGCCTCCTTTTTGCCATTCCAGTCCTCTATACCGATTGAGCTTAAGGCTTAACCCACCAGCCCAAGCAACATGTAGTAGGAAGCCGTGTATATTGTTTGTACTACCAAAATAGGATTTTTTCATCTACATGTTGCTTATTTCCTTTTACTGTTGCAGTGATGTTCTTTTTGCCATTTCTTGAATAAAAAAAGCCATAGATTGGAATATGTTTCAGAGGAAGAGAAGATTTTTGTTTTGAGTTTTTGTTCTTTTTCCATTGTCAATCATTTCGGTGCCCCCTCCCTTTTTCGTTTTTCAAAGATATAGTTTAATAGAATGTTTATTTTTATTATTACGATTAAAAATCTTAATTATTGATATTTTAAAGGGAATCAAATCAAAAATTTGAAAATATAAATATTTACAAATTATTAGATAGCTTCACGTTTTTTTTCTACGATTTTACGTTATGAAAATTCATGCAGTTACGCACGTGTACACTGTACGTCAAAGTAAATATTCCGTCTTTGTCATGCGATATTTTAAACATTTATACTCAGAAATATATGTCATATT